ATCGATCGCGTGTGTAACGGTGATCGCATCTAACCGATGGCCTGCCCGGGAGAAAAAAGAAGAACCTTCGAAAAGTTCTCGTTTACTCGACCCAAATAACCGGCCGATAATAGGGATCGATCGATCTGCCGCGCGTCGCTTTTGCCGGTCCCCGGATTTTCAACCGTGAACAGCACACGGGTTTCTCTAACTGGAGCATCTCGAAAGAACGCGCGCTGCGAATAAACAAGATCAATCCGCGGCGGACGTTCGGAGAGCATGCTCTCGAAAGAGCCCGGGGACTCAATTTCTAACGAGGTTGCGCTCTTTAATCCACGGATTGTGCTGCGTATTCGGAATTTACGTTCCTGTACAACGGAATCTCTTCAGACAAGCGAGCCTTGACATTCCGCATAGACTTCTTGGGGTCCACATTCGGAGAAATGACTCAGTAAGCAACTAAATCACAGTGACTGCTCCCGAGCTTTGCTGTCTCATTGCTATAAGTTGGCCATTAGGAATGAAATGCATTTGTCGCGAGATACAACCAGCTGAAATTGTTAGTATAAGTAGCTATGGTTGGTTGTTCTCCCTCTTTCTCTCGCTGATATTACCATATATAGGCAATACACAATGAAAATTTTGAGTTATTTTAACATTGTGTCTAACAAACCGTGTTAAAGTGATACAAAAATTTGGGCTGACGTTTGTAATACAAATTGTTTTACTGCATACGAAACATATTTACGTCAATGGAAACGGAGAGATATTCGTCTCTCGCTCAATTTGGTACTCGTCCATATACGGATTTAAGAGTCAAGTAACATTAAATTCGTTCTTTTTAGCTGAACTAGGTTGCAACTTTGGCCGTTAGAGCAAAACAAACGTATAATCTAGCGTTGAAAAGAAGAGGATCAAAGTTCCGGCGCAACGCCGGTTCCAGTACAGCACTAGTACAGTTAAAGAAACGTATTAAAAATATTAATATAACCCCGTTTATTAAGCCCCCTAATTTGATATTCGGTCAAACTATCACTCGCCTCTGGCGATGACAGTCTCACGAGACACGAAGTAAACCGCGGTCAATCAGCATTGCAGACAAGAAGCTTCACATCCCACGTTTGGGATAAATGATAGGATTCTCGTCGAATTAATGTCGTAATGAGATAACCTATTTTGGGACAACTTTGGACGTACCAATCGGAATCTATACTGCATCGGGAAAAATCTGAGGATATTTTCACGCGAGATAAATCCCCTTCGACGTGAAGGAAGTCCCTGTTTTCGAGTCGCGGTAACTTCACCCGACGTTCCTTTGAGTAAAATTACGCTTGATTCAACTATCGAGCAGTGCTTTTGAGGAGGAGAAGCTGTCACTGTCAAACGGCCGCTCGTTGACTGATATAACCTGACTGAAAGAACTATCGAGAGCTATATCAGCGGGCCGTCGTTCCGATTCGACTAAAACGGATCCGTCTATCAGTCATCCCCCTACTTGACGAATGAACGAATGCGCGGGAGAGAGAGAGAGAGAGAAAGCGAGCGAAAAGAAGGTCGGGCGGATTCCCGACGAAGGTCGGAAGGAACGGGTTACGCCGGCGATGCCGCGGACAATCGCCGTGGAGGATGAGACGACGGGAAAGTCGCGTGGTACGCGACGCGATAACCGAAAGAAACGACGATCGATACCCGTCGAGATTGTCCGCCGCGCGCGCGCTCCTCTTCCGCCGGTCGCGTGCCATTCCCGTGAAAAGCTGGAAAACGGCGACGGCAGCGGGAGAACCGTCGGATCAGCGCGGGGCGGAGGTGCAGCAGGAGGAGGCAGAGGACGGAGGGTCGGTGGTGGAGGGCAAATGGAAAATTGTGATCGGACGATCCGAGGACGCGCGGCCGGCGGTGCACTCGAAACTACGAGGGTGCTCGTTCGTTTTAATGAAAGCAGCCGAATGGAAATTGCGATTGCGTTCCACTTCGGTAATTGCAATTATTGCGCCGGCCGTTAATTAGCCGGACCGGCTTTAATAACGTTTTTAATTAACCGCAGTCACGACGGAGATCACCTCGTGCGCGTTACGTGCAACGTGCTTGCGAAACTTAACGCGACTTCGGAGGGACGCGCATGTGTGTGTGTGTGTGTGTCTCTCTGCATTAGCTCGTTTACCACGTGCGACCGGACGTTCGACGCATCGCACCGGAAGATTCGTCGATTTCCGTTCCGACCGTGCGTCCGTCATAAACGCGACTGTTCAGTACTCATGTTGATTTATTGTACTTTCTGCGAAACGCGAATGGAACCTGGAATTTTACCTGCGATTATACCTAACTCATACGTCGATATACCGAATTCAATTTCCATGAAAATGTTTATTATCTCATTAATTACCTACAAGAAAGTAATTTTGGCAGATTTCGACGAAGTCATTAGCCTTCTAAAATATCGATCGAGTCTTAGGAAACGTTCTGTAAAATCATATAAAATAACAGAAGCAAAGCGAAACTGAACGCGTGAAACGATCGAGAAGCTTGTTCGATCTTAACTTCCCGCGAGTTTTCGAAACGTTGGTTAGGTCGGCCGCCAGTCTGGGATAATCTCTATATAACAGTACATAAGAGACGGATCGGAACAGGGGCACGCGTGTATGTTTTACGATGATAATGCGTCAGAATTACAAATCCAATCACATCGATGAATTAATCGCTCGTGAGTAAAATCTCCATAATTTGCCGGGCGAGCGACAGCGGCGCATTAACGTACGTGACTAATGAGTTTATTTAACTGCGCAGCGACAATCGGGTGGATGCAATTCGCGGGGTATATCGAGTTCGAAGAGCGATCGCAATCACGCGACACGTCCCGTACATACATTCGTTTGTTTTCACGTCATAATCGCGAGCAGGTAATTTCCCGGCGCCGCTGTCGCACTTCGTAAGACGTATGTGTGTCGCAACGGATGCGCAGCTTCGAATGTGTGACGCGAGCCGGAAATTCCACTGGATTTATCGAACTAATTCCGGGACGGAAGTTAGACATGTGACGGCGGCAGGCTTAGTCGTGTTCGCGTGACTGCACTCGGTAGCAACAGTTCGTGTATTGAATATCCCGTGCGGAACGCACTTGAGGGATTAGCGGAAGTGTATTTCTGCTTATTATTTCGCGCAACGGCGAGAGAATTCGAGATTTTGTTTTCCTTCTTCCCTGAGTGTTAGAAAAATATAAGCTAATACAATACGAAGAAGTTCGACTAATCTGTGCTAAATGTTCCCAAATACGATAATATGTAATTTTGCAATATGTTTGCAAATATATCGTGTGTATCGATATAGACGCATGCTGTTGTATTTTTACTAGAATAAAGAAATGGTTATGACGTCGGATTTTTATATAATGAATATAGATCCTTAAAGTTATTAACCATTCTATCTTTAGAGATATCTAATCAGAAGACACGAAAGGAAATACTGCGCCTACAATATTGCCAAATTTTCATAAGTTGTCACATACTTATACAAGCATTATCAGAAATTGTGTGTTTTATCAATTTTTCGATAACTAGACGGTCAACAAAACGTGTTAACACATTTAAACACTTAGGATAACATTTGCATTGTTTGAACGGCCGTCAAAGTTAAACAGTCTTACGCATGGATTACGTTTCGCTTAATATGTTGTTAAAATTCGAAAAGATTGCCGAGGTTTACGGACTAGATGCTTGAAGAAATGACGATCGCTTCGATCGTCCGCTGCGTCCGTTTGACGTGAGACACAGAGCTCTCGTCGTCGACGTTCACGGCTGCGACACGAGAGTAACAACAACGCTTTCCCTGGCAGGCCCCTCGGTTCACAAATTCAGTTTATAAATTTACAATTAAATTGTAACTTCCGCAATTTCGCATCTCGAGGAGCGGCCGCGTGGTCGATGACACGCCGGCCGAGATATGACCTGGGCCCGCGGTAAAACGGAAAACGCAGGGGAAATTTGGTTCCTCTCCTAATCCGCCTTGTCCATTTCGCGTAATACCCTCCCCCGTGGAAGGCGAGGGCCGGAGGAGAAGAGGATAAAGGCAAGGAGAGCAATTTTAACCTACTTCCGTTCTTTTTGTCGTGCTGCAACGTGCGCGCCGTGCGCGCGCGACCACCGCATGCGCTTTCTCGCGCGAAAGGCATTTTCCACTTGCCGTTCCAGTGGTCGCTCACATGCGCCCGCATGGGATTCCGCTCAACTTGCCCGTCCCGATTCAATTAACGATAAGTTATCCGAGACCCGAGAGAGAGAGAGAGAGAGAGAGAACCAAGTTCTCTTGCGACATGGTAAAGACTCCGCGTGAAAAGACGCAGCTCGAAACGCAACAACGCGGCTAAGATAACACGTAGTAGACGCATACGCGCGTATCGCATGTAGATTCGGCAGGATTGCTGTGGTGTGCGCTCGAGAAAAAGAAAAAGAGAATACGCCAATTGGACTGCGCGAGCGTGTGCTTTTTTTTATAATCGCGGAATAAAGAGACACGATGAAATATCGCCCCGAGTATGTCTGGTGGTGCACTTCTAGAGAACGGATGAAACACCGCGGTGTATCCTCCGCAGGAAGGAAGGCGTGTCCTTTTTGGGAAGTAAATCGTCGAGCTCTCATATCAGACGAGGCAATTGTTCGAGAGATTTTTATTCCCACGAAGAGAGAGTCGGTAACGCGTTTTTCCGACTCATCGTTACGGAACACGGGCGCCGTTGGAACACGCCAAATCTACCGTCTTCGGATGAACGTGAGAAGTGATGAAGTAAGCGGGAAAACGGGAAGCGAGGATTGCGCGAGAACCGCTTGTCATATCTTCCTATCGGGAGGGAAAACAGAATGAGACGCGAAATAACATTTTCTTATTCGCGAAGATCTGCCGAGAGCTTCCCTGATAGAATTCAAAGGGAGAGACAGGCAAAGAAATAGAGTGTGAGAGGTTGGGGGGGGGAGGGGCGAGGAGGGAAAAGAGGAGATCGCTTTAACGTACTACTATTCGTTATGTTTCAGCAAGTATGGACATCCCGATATCAGCTGGCGATTTCGCCGTGGAAAGGGCGATTTTCCACCGACTGCTCTTTAATATATCAAAGGTTAAAACAACGAACGGAGGAAAAGACGGGAGATAAAAGAACGGGAGCAATTTGCAAATGAGACGGAAATCGAGACGGAAATTTCAAGAAACCCGAGGTGTCTCGTAGAAAAAATAATTTCAGCATACAAATGCATTATCAACAATTGAAATGAACACCCCCGCTCGAGACTGGAACCGCAACGACGATCCGATTGAAATGCATGGGATTTCGGAGAGAATTTGAAAAATCTTATTACGGCGATACGTTTTCAAACACAACACTCTTTCCTATAAGTCGAAATTGAAACGAGTATCGAGCTTAATGCTATTTCGGATGATTCGCGATACTCCGAAAGTACGAATTATAAGGAAGACCGGAGTTGTATATATTTGGCATACTTTTCACATTCTACTGTTTTTATTTTTTTCTATGCAGCATTTTGTGCTGTATATATCTTCGGTAAAATTTTTATAACTTGTAATTTGTAATTTTATGATTATAAAATATAAATATTTTTATCATCTTTGTAATTTATAATTTTAGCATAATCTTTAGCACATAATTCGAAATCTTTCGGCAAAAAAAATATATATATATTCTGAAAAGTTGAAAAGCAAATTTATAGAAGAAATCAGTTTTATCTTGGAGGATGTCAAGCGTGTCAAGCTTGTCCCGTTAACGGGGTAATGTAAAACGGAAAATGAAATCAATTTTCGGGGAAATGCTGGGATGACTAAATGGGATCTATTCACGTTTCCCATTTAAAATCGCGTGTCCGAAACGTTATACTTCTAACCGGAGCCTGCGTGGATCTCCCGAATGGGATCCATCATTATTTTAAAATACACTACTGGATCCCAATTAGATCTTCAGAAATTTTCTATGCGGAAATAATCGCATGAAGCTCCGACAAATGTGCGCGCTACAATGGCAGGGGAAAATGGCGAAACAAAGCACGACGAGTAGAATGAATAGACGCGGCTCATGTTTCCGACGAAAGAAAGAGTCGCTTCTACCCGCGCATCCTCCTTTTCGCGAGGAGTAACGGTGTTACTCTTCTGTCTCGAAATACGTCCCGCGAAGCAACGCGACCGAAACGAGTGTCGTACTATTTCGGTGTATCTCGCGTAAATCAAATCAGCCGAATCGGCGACAATCTAATAATGAACGATAATCGCAATGTAGTGCCTCCGGTGATGTGATGTTTAATCAATGATGTAAACCTTAGCTCGGCCCGTATCGTAGACCCGATGACGTATGCCTGCGCTATAAACCGTAATGCAATGCAGGAAAGTGACACATTGTCGATATCGCCGTTAATTCCGTTAACATTGCTAACGCGATATCGGCGAAACGTTGTCTGCCTTATTACGTAAGGTGCGACTGTCACTTGGGATCTTCTAAGTGACTGCACGTGTCACTCAACAGTCGGCAAATAAAGAGCACCTCTCGTGACGATACGGCACTTACGCGACGTATCCTCGTCTGCGTCAAACATTCATTCGAGTCGAGATGAGCGAATCGAGATGAGCCGTGCGAACCGAGTCTTAAATATAAATAGAGAAGCGTTATCGATTTGATCGGCTATCGGCAAATCGCACGAGAATAAAAGCATGCGATGTGCCGGTGAGTTATCATATTTTTGTCGTCGAATTTTAGTCATTACTTACATCAGGACTAGATATAAGGTGAAGGTGTCCTAATTAGTGACCAGTGTTCCTTACTTACCGCTCGCTCGAAAAAGCATGTGACTTCGAAGCCTGCTTGCTCCCAGTTATCGTGCAAATAAAACGGCGACTTTCAAAGACTTACTCCAAAAACGCTTCTTTGCATTTATACCTAGGACTCTAGCCGGCAACTATCCGAGAATGGGAAATTTCGGCTGCAACAAATTAAGAGCGCGTCCTCAACGCGCGTATTACCAGCCACGACAATCCCCGCTCGGCGAACTCGCGCGGCAAAAGGCGGAAAGAGTTCGGGCGCTCGCGGGGGCGGAAACAATCTGAAACTACCGTCGCGGTGAACGCTTGCTACCGCCGTAATATGATGAAGGCAACGTAAATGCGCGCGATTCTCGAAAGAGAAACCGGGTAAGATCCTCCCGCGGTGTACCCGGCCCGGCAGGATCGGGAGGAACAGGGGTGACGGGGAGTGGAGAGAAGGGTCGTCTCGACCGTCGGAGCAGTCGTCTTCAATGATTATGTTACTCGGCGGTATTAGAGACGCGCCGCAAAAAGCCCCAACCTATTTCCATTTTCTTTGTCGACCGAGTCGCCGACGACGACGATGCACTTCTCGCTCGCGCCCAACAGCCACTTCCCCGGTCGTCCGACGATTGCTCGCGTATGCGAGACGCGGAAACTACTCTTTACTACGCCGTACTGCGGATACGCGAGCGCGCTGATTTCGTGGTCGTGCCGACGGCAGCGAGAGAAAGAGAGAGAGAGAGACGGGGGGGGATTGCGGATGGGGGTGGGAAAGTTTCGGTTCGAAATTGCGCCAGTACGTGGACGAGTTAGTCGTTCACCCTCGCAGCGGATCCATCGGCCTGAAAGTTCCGAGGGGATGATGCGAATACCGGTGATGCTGCGGCGGCCGCTGCGAGAAAGGAAGAGGAAGAGAGAGGAGGTGGCGGTGGAATATTCCGCGAACAAAGTGCAGTGCCGAAGGGATTACCGTTTAAAACACGGGAGATACTCGGGGAAGGGATGCGTCCGAAAGTTTCTTCTTTTATGACGCGCGGCCCTCCCCGTCGAGAGGGGGAAGAGATCGATCTCGGCCCTCCGTCGTCTCAAACGATCGCGGATCGGCCGGAAGTGAGGGGGGTGGTTTTCGGGGAAGCTCGAGCTGAAAATTTGATTTACTGGGAAAGATTCTCCGGTCTGAAATTCGGTTGCTCAGCGTTCGCGCGCTTCTTCCAGGGCGAATGTGTGCGCGCGTCGTCTTGGCGAAGCTGGAATTTGTCCCAGTTTCCCGAAACTTTCCATCGCCATAAATCCGAAAGGGTCCGAACAAGAGGGACGCGCTTAAAGTACACACGTCGAATTCCCCCTCCGGAGTTTCTCGTAAGAAAGCTTGGAACAGGCGAATTTGCACGCGCGATTTCGCACGAGAGCTGTACGCGTAAAATAATGGGGCGGCTATCCTGAAGCTGTTATACGAACACCTTACTTGAACATTTTATCGGCGAAATACTTAATTACTTACTTTTTCTGCAAAGTTTACGTCATATGGCTGGACAGAATTATAAGTATTTTTGCACGCAACGAAAATTCGCGCGGAAACAAATTAGACAACATTGTTCAATATGTGAAAAAAGTAAAATTTTCGAAACTGATGTTTCTAGCGGTCAGTTGGCGTAAATATTTACCTGATGCAGAAATTCTACAGATCGCACATATCGAATGTATCCACGCTCCAACCAAGAAAGTTTCATGGAACATTTTTGTACACTGAAAGGAGCAAGTGCTACCGTTCAAGTAATATTTACTTGATCCAAGAAAATGATTGCTCCAATACTCCTTGAAAAATATTTACTAGAAGTGGAAATATGATTCTTATATTTTCTTCCTGTATACTTTTTCAATTCAATTTAAAAGCTTAGACAGATACGGGAAAAAGTTTACGGAAAAAAATGTTTGTATATCTCGGTTATCCCTTTAAAAGGTTACTAAAATTGATGATGAACTTAACAAGTATCGGTAACGTAGAAACGATCTTCAAAATATTATATCACATAAACACTGACACGATCATTGTAAATCCAACTATACAAAATTGTATAGCCACTTTTTACGTATTTTTACGCGTATTATTTTGATATACATTTTATCTGCGTTATTTTACGTAATTAATATATACATTTTATACTTGTATGTATTAAATTACGTATTTAAAACGTAACTTACGCGTAAGGATTTAATATTTCATTATACTTTTTCATTGTTTCTAATAAAAATATGTGTTATTAATTAACTATGACAATATTGAATTTTAGAGGATAAAATATATCTCTTTCTCAAAGGTATACTTTTATAATATAAAATTATTATTTATAATATAAAATAAAACTATTTTAAATTTATATATTTGTATAATTATAAATATATCTAGAAGACTCAGTATTTTTTAATTACAATGAACATTAAAAATTAGATGTCGGTTAAAGTGAAAATTTTTAGATGTGTGTTTGTATTGAACATTTTACCGAAAAATACTAAGAACTTTCCCCCTACCTAATACATTAGATATAAATGTAATCGCGATATAAATCGGAATGCGATGAATAATGCGCTCCTCTGTCTCACTATACTTAATGGAAAATCTAACCAAGATATATGAAAATGTTTCAACTTTTTAAAACTTTAAATTTAATTGAGAAAGTATAAAAAAAGTTCTTTGAAGTTTTCCTAAATGCACACATTCAGTATGTGCAAGCCGCACGGTTTCTATACCAGATAAATATTTACGCTAAACAGCTGGGAAATGTCGGCTTTGCAATTTTTCATCCAATTTCGTAACATATTGAGCAACGCTCCAATTCATTTTGGCGCGTACTTTCACTGTGCAAGAGCGTTTATAATTCTGTGCAAGCAGTACGATGTAAACTTTGCAGAAAGAAGTCAATATTTTGCCGGCGAAGTTTTCAAGTATGGCATCCCCTTAAATCTCCGAAGGTTGCTGCCATGACGCATCTTCGTATCGGAGTTCTATTAGAAGAAGCCGATACGCGAGAGCGCGAGGCTTCCCGCATACCGGGAGCTTGCAGCTCGAAGCAGACTTCCATGGTCGGACTAGAAGCGGCGAGTTGAACTTTAATTAAGAAACACGCCATAAGCTCCGCTGCGTGATTCGTCCTGGCTCGCCTTTATCGCATGCCCGATGCATCGCAATTTTCTTGAATAACACAAAAGACTATTAAGGGAAACTAGTATGTACTTAACGCGTATTAAGCGTCTTTAAACCGAATCACGCGCAGTATCGTTGAAATCAATTTCGCGAGGCTCCTTTCCTTCGTCGTCGCGAAATCCCGCTTTTCCTCTCTTCGTGTAATACCGAGTCGAAATCTTCAAATTCAATGAATAACAATAAACAGATTGTACAAAGAAAAAGTTTGTTTTATTTACCCGCGAATCACGTTATTTACTTACATCAATTATTTTTTATTCGCTTGTCGCACATATTCTATCGGCGATAATTCAAGACGCGAAATTAATGGGCCGCTTATTGAAATTGAGAATAAAGATTAAGCGCAAGTGGAATATCGAGATAATTGAATATTAAATAATTCTGAAATAAGCCCTGTAAACCACAACATGGAGAAAATGGTACAATGGTTTCGTTTTCGTGCCCATTTCATAGACCTCACTATATAGACTATTGTTCTCTGATACTACAAATGGTTATTTACTTAAAAACCATTGTAGTATCAAAGAACAATAGCCTATACAATA